TAATCTGTGGATCAAGATTTGTTACGTCAGCAGTCGGTTCCCGCACAGCGCACCCATGTAGTGCACATGTACTTATAAATATTTATGCATAGTGTACAATAAAATTTATGATGTTCCAATTCGCCTAAAACTAAAAAGTATAATAAAATTATTTAATTGATAACATCAGTTTGTAACACTAGCATTTCTAATTTTATTTCCATTTAACAAGGTCAATATTTTAGTATCAGTCAGGAAATACTTGGACAATTCTCCGCGTCATTTGAGCTAACCCTGAACGTTTTAGTAACTTTCCGGCTTGCAAATGTTAAATAAAATATTTAGGTAACACTGAAATTTATTTTCCATGGTTTTAAAAAATCTATAACTGAGACTACAAATCGTAAATTGTATGTTTTATCAAATGCTGTTATCAGCAAATAACTATATTTGATTAATTAAAATTAATATTTTACCCATCCGCCCATTTGTAATAGAAGTTAAATGTCAAGGAATTTTAATTAATTAACATTTTTAATTTTCAAAAACAGGTTTTATAATCATTGACTATTAATACCTCAAAAATAAATGGCAAATCATGACGTGTTTTATTCCAAATAATTTGTAAATAGGTATATAGGTAGTTAGTAAATTAAATACATCACGGTTTTAGTTATTAGTTAATAATGAACCTAATAATGAGTAATGTGTTATGTTTGAAATACCTAAGAATTTACTATGTAGCTATTAGTACAGACCATATAAGTAGGTCTGAGTCAGACAGGGTAAATTGTTGAAACTTCACTAGAATAAAAATCATAACATAGACTATAATATTATCGTAGAGACTTTATAGCTTCATTTGATTTCAAATCATCATTTCAGGATTGCTCAAATAAAAACTTTACGAAACATTAGTACTTATGTTTGTTGGCCTCCATTCCATAACTCCCAGAATTCCAACACTATTTATGGGCAGTAAAAACAGAAAGTAGAACTTAATAAATTATTAATTAATTTGAACCACAGCAAAGTCAGAACCTACTATTTTTGTTAAGCCAAACTCAAAATATTTCTCCAGTCTATTTAAAAAAATATGCAATAAAAATTGTTGTAAATTCAAAAATGACCAGAGGAACGTCTTCATGGTTAATTGCACGTAAAAATAATATTGCTCATACTCTTCTATAATGCACTAGTAACATAGTCCTTATAAATTATATGCCACATGAACCCAACCTTAGTCACCACTCAAGACAGATACATCCACACCACTATAATAGGAACATACTTATGTTTTCGATTTAAAACCTCCATCTTAGTACATTAACATACATATATGTATATATTAAGTAAATCTTTTGTTATAATCAATGGTTGAAATGTTGCATCTTATCTTATGACTATCTAAACATTTAGTTACATCAAGACATGCCAATTATATCATTTAACCTCTGAGCTTTGCACTAATAAAAGAATTAATAGACCACATTCAAAAGAAGGGCATTGTGTTAAATATAATGAGGATTTACTTTGCATCCGACTTAGATCATGATCTATGACACAAACAAAACACAATAGTAACATCTCTTTTGTAAACTGCAGTAACAAAGCCATTGCAATGTTGCATGAAAAGAAATGTAGAACACAATTGCATTGTATGACCTAATTGCCTACAGCATATTAGCATCAGAAACACTACTTACACAAAGAATATTTTGATAATACACATAGATTAGCTGACTGACAAGGATCAAAACATTAACATGTTATTTTTTAGTTATACCTATTTCAGATTATTGCAGTAGCCACGTGAAACATAGTTGGTTGCATACTAACCTGGAATGAGTTCAATGTTATCATGTATTCATCTCTGAGGCGCTCTCTGGTCATCTTGTGTGCTGGTTGATCTGTTGGCAACTTCATCAATTCCATGATCAGTGATGATGTATCCCTCGCTAGTTTTTGATTGTAGTTTTGTATTTGACGCCTGTAAAATAGTTTTTATATATATATGTAGCTCTAAATTTGCATTATTTTGTTATGATAAAAAAACCCTGCTGCTAGTAGACAATAGCAGTGACAACACAACTACATAGATAAGGCAGTTACTCTACTATAACTTCTTTTTAGACTTACAGTTGATTCCGATGCTCTTGGGAGTCCTGCGGTGTCTGAAGCTGGTTGACCATCTTTGACATGGATGACACTACGAAAGAAAATTATGCTAATGGTCACTACAAATATGTTTATACGTAAAATAAAAATAGTTTATTGAACGTAACTTTTATTGATTCTGGAAAAATAACTATTCTTGGATGATAGATAGAAAATTTTATTCTGCCAGTCAAATAATTATCAGACATATACAAGACACATTTTGATTTTGTGTCATAAAAACAATACTTAATTAGATGAATGTTAATGATGAAAGTTTAGAAGTAAGAGCAGGCTATGTAGTGTGTACTTAGAAATTCCTAAGTGCAAAATATACCTATAAGTAACATTATGAAATGTATTAATTTGATATAACATCAAAAGTTATTTCTTAAGTTTTTAATGCTAAGCAATAAACTAGAAGACAGGCACTTTATTTAAAAATTATATTTAGTAGCGGTCTTTAACTGATTGACAGCAACTAAATATGGTTTCAATGCTATCATCATTACTAATGTTCTAAATTGGAAATTCTATTTTCCTATCATATTACAAGATTTCTAAAAACACTGTCGAGTATAAAGTTTGTGTACATATTTCAGTAATACGGTTGTTTCCAACTAGTTAAATTCAATACTTTTATCCAAATGTCAAAAACGATACTTTTCTATGAAAATTGTATGAAACATTGAATTATGACGTCATAGCAATTTTGCGTCAAATAGCTTACTTATTTTTAAAAAATTAGCTAAAAATATCTAAAACGTAGTGTATTGATCGAAGATGAATAAAAGTATAGTTATTTTTCAATATTAATAATTATCGTATTAAAACGTCGAATTAATTTATTTTTGACCTAGGAAACTACCCAATTCTTGGAGAATAATATGTCATGTATAAGGGAAGCCATGGACAGAAAGTTTTTGTGCCATAATCCTGAACTTAATGTATTGTTGCATGATTAAATAAAAATGCAAAAATTGGATTCATGGATTCTGAACATTAACTTTTTATGTAGGCAAATCCATGAGTAATTACAAAGTATGTACTATCCTCTACATGTTTTAATCCAATTTTATGTTAATACTTATTATTTATTGTTAGTATTGATACATTTTTGCATATCCCTAGATGAAATATAATGATGCAAAATGAACAGAGTGAAAAAATATTTAAGACTATCCTTTTATTTGTGTTAAATATGAATAATTCATGAAATGAAGATAAGATAGCAATGTGAACATACTTGTTAGATTCATATTCTAGACAAATACATGAATCATCTTTATTTACTAAAAAGTATACACTTTATCAGTACTTTCTTTGGCCTGGCCTACATCGTCACTCTTTGTTTGGGAGTGTTGAAAAACTCAAAAAAAGAAGAAAGAAGATTAATATAAAAAATAAAGGTGTATATAATGTGTCATATCTCATTTAAACAAATAAGATATGTCACATTATATGACACAGCTAATTGTTTGAGTGTTTAACATATCTGTATTGAGAAACAATCATGACCTTTCATTAGATCTAAGAAAACAACAGACTTCCTCAAAATAACAAGGGAAACCCTAACAGTATACCTAGACATGGCAAATAATAAACAAATGAAAGAAAAGGCACTTAAGATAATAATGAAGATAAAAAAATAAAACAATGGAAGTACAAACCATTTTGTGAGATCTTTTTGATATTGCTTGCTATAGTTTGAGACAGGCGCTGGAAATTATTGTCCCTGTCTTCGAACGACACACCTCCCTGATAAGAGGACTCCATCGTGATTAAGTACCTACAACAATTAAACCAGACACACGATCAAAACCTTGCAATTACTATAACAGCGCAGCAGCAAAGACGATGTTTTCTGTAGAGACGCAAACACTAATCGAGTTACACTTATATGAAAATATTTAATTGTGACGTCGGTTCTATTTTATAGCACAACAATGTACTTTTTATGGAGCAACCAGAATTAAGAGTCAAATCGAATCGAATTTCAGACTATATTAAAACACAATTTCTTGCTTGGTTTTTAAATAGAATGAAAAAAAGAAATCATAGTTGTTAAATGTACTGTACCTAACGGCGTAGGAGGTAAGTCAGCTAAACAAAATCTACTTGAAACTTCTGAAATCAATGCACTTTACGTACACCCTTCTTGACGTATACCAATGTAAATGTCATGTCATGATCTGTCATTTGAGTGACTGGAATTTGAAAAATTACATTGTCTCTGTCCCTGTGAAAAAATAATATTATTATTTTAGAAAACATTTTATTTTCTTAATTTTCTTTGTCCATGAAAAATGATCGATTTCAAAATATGTATTTTATTCTAGGTAACATTTTCTCCTTAAATCTTAATGTGCTAAAGCTGTCTGTACATGGTGCCACCAAAAATCGGCAATGAATTACAACATTCACAATAATATTTTTAGACACAATAAAAATTATCTTCTAAATAAAATCAAAACTTAACCCAGTACATAAGTATATTTAAGTACCTACTTTATTTCATCAGTTTATAATAAAATTAAAATAAAATTCAATTTAATAGCAAATGAAAAAAGAAGTTTTGATAAATCAATCAATAAATATTGAAATGACTATATGTTATCCCTAGACGCAGAAAATGTTTATCTGATGATTATCTTTTGGTTTTTGCATATGATAATATTTATGTGTAATGTGTATAAATTCTCGCTGAATAGTAATATGAAAAAACATATAATAAATATAAATATTACCAATGAGTTTAAGTTTCCTATTCATTAAACTTGACACAGTCTACATTTTATTCATAGACATTAATAATCCTACAAAATGCAATGCTAATTAAAACACATCTGAGTTTCGTTTCAAGAAAGACATTCTTTGTTGTTAGCATAATATCTTGTCTATGACCACTGATATCCTACGTTGTTCAGAGAAATACGTTTACGTACTTGTATACGTATTTATGTGTCTGTAGTAATATTAATGTGTATTTGTCTTCGTGTCCCTATGCTCTGTTTTTTTATTTAGAAATTTTAAATGTTATAAACTTGTACAAAAATCCTGGATCCTGCATGATTTAATCAATTGACAAGCTATTATCTTACGTATATTTCTTGTGACAATGAGCTTAGTAATCATAATCACATATTTGTGTATGGCTTGATCTTCTGTCACGGGTGTTAAAAAGTGTATCAAGTACATAGAAAGAACGAAAAGCGAAAATGTCCGAGATTACGTTCAACCGTTGTGATGTTTGAGATCAGAAAGATTAGCGTAACAGATGAGGAAGATGGGTTGTTGATGACCAGCCAGGTGAGCGAAGTTCAGATCGCGTAGCTACACCAAAGCGCCTAGACGTCCAAGACGTTCGAAGGATATCCGCTGTCGTTTCACCTTATTTTCGAAAAGCCTTTTTCGTTATTCATCATGAGTTGGCTGCATCGTGAGCTGGAAACTATGGATCCCTCGATCTTTTTACAATATTCGCCTTCCCCTCCAAATGGGCTACCACAAGAATCGAAGTTGGCAACTTACATGGTAAGTTTGTATTTATTTTTCGTGGTATTTTATTGATCTTCTTCAGTTATCAGCTAACACATTTTTTCATTTTGCAGAATCGTTCCACTTCAACTCCCACAAGATCTCTAAACCAGGCTCTTGGCAAACTCAGCTTGGAGTCTTCACCTACTGCAATTAAGAAGGTAATAAAAGATGACTCATTGATGTCACCAAAGATTTTTGTGTGCCACTTTCACATAACTTGAAAAATATTTTGTTTTGTGTGTGCAGGTGGTGATAACAGAATTTGTTCCAATGAACTATTTCACTCCACCTAGCCTGCTACAGCCAGACTCGCCAGAAAGTTCTTCCCCCTCTACTATGTCGGCAGTTCCCAATACTTCTCAAGTGCATCAGGTAAGCCTATTATCATTCTTGCTGTTATTCTACTTATAAAAAAACATACAACTTCTTATATAAACAAAGCGTTCTTCTTTTATTATTGTGTTTACTAATAATAAAACATTACAATATTTAAACTAAATCAACCTGCAAATCACCTTTACCAATAGTTTTTTTTTTTTTTTTGATCACAACATTATATAATGTAATTCATCAGAACTTTTTATGTTCATATAATTTTGGTACATTTTCAAAATCACTGTACTAAGGTTCAATAATCTTGTTTGAAATGCAGCTTTAATAAGAGTAACCAGTTATCCATGACCAACTTTCAAAACTTGATCTGATTCTTAACATTAATGAGTTCGTCATTATTGTTATGGGGTTACAGAGACACTTATATGATAATTTAACACAATGAAATTGTTGCTATAAGTTTATATTATAATTTTTTATCAGTGTTTCTTATTCTTTTTTTTCTGATACCATGAAGTTTACAAGGTAATAAAGTGGATAAGATAGAGCTTAAAATGACAATAAGGTTTCTTCTTTTTGCTACAGGAAAATGTTGGTGGTACAACATACTTCTACTCCACCAATTCAGACAGCCTGAACACTTCAGGAGCCTTGAATTCCTCTGCATCCATGGGTAAGTTTAAATAAAGCACATATAAAGAAAGTAAACAATTAATGTTCTCTATTGGTTACTTAGTCAAAAATATGTTTTTATAAAATATGAAACAACAATCACTTTCGTTTACGTTTCACATTTAACGACATTCATAATAATTAATTATAGCTTATTATCAAAAAATATACTATGGCATTTAATACAATCAAACTTGAACTCATACAATTCCAAACAATATTCAATATAAAACTGTTGATTCTGACAATTCAAAAAAGTGTTGAATTTGCCTAGTTGCCAAGTATGTAATAGATTGGTCATTGCAATATGCATTAACTGTGGTCAGTTATCAGTAATTTTTCATAGTAAGCTTGTTATCTTTTACGCATATGTTTAGATATGGTTGCAATTTCTAGTTCAGTTTAGACAAGGTGAAAATACTAGGTTTAAATATTTTTTTGTGATCACTGGTTTTCAATTTGTTATGTTTAATCACTTAAATGGCTGGCTGAATGGCTTAAACTAAAAAAGCATAATAATGTGTAGTGAATCATCGGTAGATAAGAGTCTTAGTTAACGCCCTTACGCGACGTAGGTTAATCGAACGATACTATTGGGCAAGCAAGTCTTGTCTACTTATCATAATATTTTTATCAGTTGGAATCATGTTTTAGCTTTTATTGCTTTGAGATTGAGACACTACGGTCGATGTAACAATTATCCTCTGGCAATTGTATCGCAACATAAAATTAGCAGATAACATTATAAAAAACATGTTATCGTGATAAACTGAAGAGTTCTAAAATATAAAATATCTAAGATGTTCTAATATATTAAACCTCACGTATTGATATCCAAACTTACGAAAGCCAGGGACGCAAGCAATAGTTAATTTATTACTTAGTGTTGGCAATTGCAGCATATAATGTTGTAAATTCTTATCGATTCTCATAGTAATTTCCTTTTAATATTTACTCAACTGCATGATGTTCAAAACACTAGTTAGGTATGGTTTCGATATGCATGAGCCGTAACTCGACTGGCGATATAACAACAATGTTTTAAGTTCGACATTAACCTAACGGTATCTGCCGATGGAGTTCCCCTTAAACTGAGATAACGGTCTCATCAAATTTGCCTTTTCTTGGAATCTTTACTGTCAATTTATAATGTTTACGTCATCAACCCCCTGCTTATTGTTGAGTTTTGTTAGCATTAATTTTAGTTGAACTTGCAAACTCTAAATAAAAACACCAGTTTTCGTTGTTTCTAATAAAACTTTTATGTCTTTCAAATAAAGCCACTATTGTTCCTTAAGAAACTACTTAATACGTCAATACTGCGAATAGTTAGTACATAGGAATTAATTACGGCATATACCTTATCCTAATCAATTTGTCTAATAATCAGAGTATTGACAAAGAAAGAAGAACAAAGAAAGTGTTAAGATTCAATTGAATTACAATTTACTACCTTGCTGGGCAAGTTAAATATAGATATGTACGCCTATGTTTATTTATGTCTACCTCGCCTACACTCTTGGTGACGTCAACCGACTTAGGTGACATATAATTTCCTCAAACATGTAGAAGCGAGTCCTCAAAAGTTGCTTTGTAGATATAAACAAATAGTTACTTCGGTGACACCAACCACTGTTTATTAAATAATGAATCGATTGGTATGCTTGTTCGATTTAAACTATGAAACCTACTTATTGCTTCAGGCCCTTCGGATTCATGCTTGAGTGGTGCTGTGGGCGGCGCTGCCTCGCCGTATGCCACTCAGATCTACTCCGGAACACCAACTCATATGGGTCCAATGACTTCGAAACAAGGTAATAAAACAATATTGATTAACTACAAGTTACTATAAAATGAAGCAATTACAGACGAAACAGAAGACGGAGATTCATTAAATAATTGTTTATTTAAAATAATAATCGTACATTATGGAATATCTTTTTTTTATTCAATGCGTTCTGTAACTTCTAGTAGTTTGGCAGTAGTATCAATAAAAATAACGTCCCATACAGTAAAGAACTGGCAAATTCCATACGAAGTCTTTCGCTCTCACGCAGAAATAAACCATTAAAATCTCATTTTGTACTAATGAGATCTCAAGTTGTAGATATGTTTATTTCTTAGAAAAATACGATACTAGGTGTAACAGCTCACGTATATTTTATTAAATAGCACAATTTCACCTGTATCATCTTCTTAAAACAAAGTTCGATATGATATGCTGTGCACTATTTATATGTACACACTAAGTAATGTTTTAATAATTAACATTTCCAAGCCATCTAGCGAATTCTAAACTGCGTATGACTATCTATTATGATTTGTTATGCAAATAAGCTCTCCCGTGCATAAATAATAATAGGTTGCCAAGCTATCGATATTGACCTTAACATCATTCGTCGCACCGCCCAATAAATCAACGTGCTCAACAATGGCTTCACTTATTAATTGACTCTATTCGTATAAATTACGCAGCGGAAAGTCAATAACACATCAATATGAAGAAAAAACAAGCAATTTCTGATCCAAATATATCACAATATCCACCCTTAATACTTTTCTCAGATTAATCACATTTCTTTGAAAACTGATATTCTTGTGTGGGTGGTTTAGATAGCAAAGTAAAGGATCGATTATGTTCGCTTGTCTGGCGTAATTACTCTAGTCTGTCTCCAACGCGATTATGTTTATATTTAGTGTGACAATTTTCTTAAGAATCCTTATACAAATTTCAGTAATATCATAATAGTTATAGTCGCCGTGAAGTATAATCAATATAAAACAGCCCTAGCATGGCTACGATGATTGCTTTAGATTAACACATCAAACGCGTTTGATTGTATAACAAGAGATGCGTTTAGGTCTGATAGCGCAGTAGAGCTTGTTATTCACACCGGAGGATATTGGTAAATTGCTCGTGATAGCCGGCCGGCATTATGTCGACTGCGAATCAAATGCAAATTGTAGCGTGATCTTGGGAGCCGGCTACATGTATTCATTATCGTATCACTATCTGAAGGAGACTCTTCCGCCGCGCCCCGTGTTTAAACGAGCCGTGAGAACAGCCTAGAAATGCAGTTAGATAACTGCCTGTTAGTAGGGTTAGTGCAGATTGTTAGAATCAATCTACGAGTCACGTTGCATGCACCAGCAGGAAATTGTCATCAGTTACGATCGCAGGAGCATAATATTCACTATTGACCAGCCATGTTTGACACATAGGTCGACTATAGTACTTGAACTTGATTATTGTATGAAACTAGAATAATAAAAGAAAAGCGATGGTCACTTAACCTAGAAAATTACCTTGTAGAAAACCAGACCGCGAGTTTCTCCGATTTACAAATGTTGTGATTCCAATGTCGCGATTTGCTATTCTAGCGGTCACGATTGAAAATCACATATGTAACAAGTTAGATTATCATATGGCCGTCTAGGTTTACGTCATGTTGAATTGTGATAGGCCATGGTTTATATTGCTTATTGCGAACTTTACGAGATTGATACTGCCGTTAATCCTTTGTTTTTACATTTTACTACTCGACGTAAAGATTGCGTGAGGTTATAGCATTTTCCAAGTAGTCGTAAAAATCGAATGTTTATTTCCTTGAATGACCGTTGTGTGAGAGCATCCGTTAATTTTTTACTTAAATCTTAAAATTTTTAAAGTAATCTGACTTGTAGGTGCCATCTTAGGACCACCACAGAAGCATTCAAATATAAAAATATGTATGTTTTCGTAATTTTAAGCTGAGCGTTGTTAAATAAAATTATCGTGTTTTAATTTTTTCTGTGAAAAACGAATACTCAGTTTCAACCTTAATGCTTATAGCATTGTCATACTGCTTTCGCTGTGCTGTGGTTAGGAAAACAGAAAACATTGATTAATAGAGTAATGGTTAACAATTAGACGACGGATTGTGTACACTTATCAAATTGCACCTGCCGACTGTTTACCTTGCAAAGCGATTACACAATACACAATATGCAATTACTATTGTGCTAAGCAAATAGTTTTAAATAGTATCAAATGTAGCAATTTTGCTAATTTAATACATATGTTGTTTACTGCTTACGTCTGCGCATTCCTTTGTCAAATTGTCAATAAACAAGTTGTGTTTATACATGGGTGCATAGCTTACCTGTGTACTGACTTTAAGTCAGGATTGTTGCTTAATTGCAATCAATTTAAGTCAAGCCTCCCTCCAAGTGTGGGAAGAATGAGTCGACTCGACCGAAGTAACAACCATGGGCTGCAATGAAGGATAAATAAAATATCCTCAATACATAAATAATACACGTCAAATAGGCTTGTTTGTTATCTCTTCCTCGCCTCTCGAAACGACATCTCCTTAATCGATACTTTGAATGTTGTATACGTACGTTTAGTTGAAACTGTTGAAAGTACGAAGAAGAAATATCACGCGAGCAAAGCCGCGGGCAAAAGTTGTGGCAGTTACTGACTAACATGTTTTACAATTTCATATAACAAAAATATAGAATTACTGCTGGCTTAGCGTCCGTATCGGTTGTAATCGATACTAAACAAATGACTTTTATGGCAAATTCAAATACGATAACACACTGAATTATTCTATTATTTTGTGACTTGTGTTAGGAAATAAATAGTTATTATTTGCTAGTATATGCGTGCATTAAAATAGTTGAACTTTTTTTATTGAAATTCTTTAAATATAAGGTTGGCTTTGGCGAATGCTTTTCGTATGGCTGTGATCTGTGTTACGCTATATTAAATAGTATCATTGTGTTATAGGGGCCCAATTTTAAAATAATATGAAAAATAATGAAATATCATCCATATATAATTGTTTTATTCTATTGTGCGAAGGTCTGGCTGCCTCCTTCTACATGCCCGAGACGATCCGCTCTGAGATTTACGAAAGAAACGATGATGTGTTCTTGCAACCAGATTTACGCCAGTATCCAGGTAAGAATTTTTATATAATTAGCCAGAGGCGACGGCATATACCCTAAATTATTAAAATTACTGTTAACCCGGCTATTCGGAGCAAGAAGATTGATTAGATGATTTTAACATACCTCTTGGGCTTCATCAGTATTTCCATGTATTATCATTTATAAAAGGGATAATACATATATTATATTTTAATAACAAATGTATGATAGTTCCTACGAGGTACCTATTTATCGCAGTTACATTGCACGAGTAACACGTAAGGCGCTGAAGGAACCGCCCTAAAGACAACATCAATACTACCTCGAGAAATCAATGTATAGTTAGCTCAAACAGTTGTAATTTCTCGTTAATACAAATCTTCTTGATTAAGCGCGTCTAAGATAAATATTACATTTATGAATAGGTATGGGGAAATCCAATAAATAATACAATTATTTCTTTTTATTTACAAGAATTACAAAAGAATAGAGAGAAGAAAATTTAAAAAAAATTAGAAACTATGGCATATATTATGGCAATACGGCTGAGCCTATAAAAAAATACTTATTAATAGATGGGATGACGATGATGTCTGTTTGTTATTTTAAAGATTATCGTTTATGGGTACTGCTCACTTTTGTAGATGCAGTCAATTAACAAAGGGAAAAATATATTTTTTTGTTTACTGACAGTGGATGGTAGATCTTTTTACTATTTTGGTTATAAGTTCGTGTTTTATTGCAATAACATTTACAAATAATGCCTTAGCACCCGCTTTTGGCCGTCTATAGTCACCAAACCACCCAGAGGGTGCCTTTAATATACCTTCGAATTCAAAATGTCTTCAACTGTCATAAAATATTATAAGTATTCTCACTGGATATTCTGTTTCTTAAAAAAAAAAACACTCTAAAATTTTCTCTTGTGTCGTGAGCGTTTACAAACAAATTCACATACCCAAGCCACCCAGACCCGAAACAAGAATTTGTGGACCACATACCACGGTCTCACAGAAAACCGGCGTGAAACAACCACAGCGTTGTGTTTCGCCGTGTGAGTGAGGTTACCGGAGGCCCAATCCTTCTCCCCAATCCCCCTCAATCCTGAAATCTCAAAATCCCTAATCCCTAAAAGGTCGGCAACGCACTCGTAACTCCTCCCTTGCGGGTGTGAAATTCCGAGAATAGTAAAATTTTAACAATATATTTTTACGAAATAGCTAACCTCTGCTTGCAATACCGAACTTGTAGTGTAGTGACAGGTACAGGTAATATTGAACACTAATTACAGTTACCTTTTATGGTGGCCTGACTTTTTTTTTTTAACTATACCTGCAACAAAAAAGTAAATTCGTACATGTCCATTGTCTTTCGTACATGTCCATTGTCTTTCGTACATGTCCATTGTTTCCAAAAATATTGGCGTTTAAGAGATACTATATATTTTTTTATTTGGATTAGTTTTTTTTACTAAACCAAAAACATTGTGATATGTGGTATCACACTGTGCACTAATCAATATTAAATATAAAGAAATATCTTTTTACAATTTAACCACTGACGCAAAAAGAAGAGAGTTATAAAGTATGGATTCTTATCATAAAGTATGGATTCTTATCCCAAAACTTTAGAAACTTTTCTTTTACATATTGTCCTTAAAACTCTTAGTCTTAACTGCAAGTGGACCTTTTATTTTGTTTATTTTACCTGTGTTTGACTACAATAGGCATTGAGAACTAAACACCCCATAATATGGCAAGTCTACTCGCCAAGACATAATGAAGAGAAAGGCAGCATTATTGTTGGTTCGCGACTTTGTTAGCCACTGAAGCAGAAAACATTTCTACTTTACAGCTTACAAAAATATATTTGACAATATTTAAAGGACTTTGTACTCTAATGTTACGAAACGTAAAGTTGAATATAATATACATGTTGTGATAAGGACTAATTCTTTGTGGTTCGTCTTCCATAAAAACTCTCTCTTTAATGCCATTTAGAGTCTGCGAGTTAAAAGTTAAAGTTATAAGAAGCATTCAATTCATTTCTACCCTTTTTTCTAGATATTACTACTACAGTATAAAAATATTAAAAATGTCGTCGTTTGCTCCACGGAAAATAAAGATACTTATAAAAATTACACCCACTTAGCGCCAACAAAATCCCAATATCATAGAATGGAAGGCACATGTCAAATAGCAATATAATCGAAAATATAAATCATAGTTTTTTCGTAACGAAACCCAGTTATAGGCAAACTTTGTGCGTAACAGATTTTGTTTGTCACCAGATTTACCAGAAAACGTGGAAATGTACTCGGAACTGACGCCGCTAGAGAGTGTTGCACCGCACAGTATTGCGACGTCATACCGCGCTACACACCGGCAGAGCGGAGAACATTACGCTCTGCGGCGTCTACATTCATACTCCACGTCTATCACGAAACGCCTAGAGATGTGGAAGCAGATTGACCATCCCAACGTCGTGAAATTACACGACTGGTTCACTACTAAAGCCTTTGGGGACCACTGTAAGTATGGACACTCCTGTTTGTCACGTGTCTAAATAAAAAGCTACTACTATTAGCCACTCTTTTAAAATTATATAAATTGTTAAGGTAAATCAGACAATACATATTATCTATCCGAGCCTAATTTTTGCCTGGCGCGAGCAACTAACTGAGCAGATTTTTTTTATTCAATATTTAGGTAGTATTAATTTTTATTAGGATTATTAAGTAAGCACCAGGCAAAACCTGGTTGTTTTGATTTACTTTAAAACACATTACGTGGTGGTGCCGTAAATATTCCTAAGGATTAAGAATCAATAATATTGACAATATCAACATCAGTTTTGCTAATTTTGTTAATGGCAGAGATATTATTCTGTAGTAAAGATGGAGAAATATCTTTGAATGTACATAAAATAAAATCGACGATTAACATATCTGCTAAAACAAAAACACAAGATACAAACGACGCCAATGCATTTAATTAATACGCGGTGGATCCTTGTTTCCGTCCCTTGTCAATTTTGATTCAATGATTAATTCATCACTGTTTCTTTTTTGTAAAATTTACATTTACCAGCCGTTAAGGTCCCTTCACAACCAAGCTCACATCTGCAATTTCAAAAGAACGCAAACGTCATCAATACAACGAAAGAGTATTGTTAAAAAATTGCTTAAGTTCCTTATAGTTGGACTATTGAATAAAAGAATTTATGAACAGATATAGACAGATACCCAATTGTATGTACCCAACCCACGTAAAATATATTTACGTGGAAGCAATAAAATGAAAATAATAGTAAATTATAAAAAAAAAATTAAGGATGTTTACGGATTACAAATGCAGAATTTCCATCAATCATAGCAAAGCTTTATAAAATGCATGCAATACCGCGTCACGAAACTATAATTCATAATTACGCTACTGCTAACTAGATAATTCAGCCTCGTTTTTTTATATAATTATACCGTTAAAAACCTATTGTTTCGCTTCTATGTATTACAAGCGTCGCCGTTTAACTTGTACAGACAATGGGATTGGCATTACATCCTTACTAGTTGAATAACAGCCAAAATAATAAATTTCAAATGGCTGTTCTACAAATAATATAATTTGAAGCATTAAAAACTCCATCTATGTATTATTTTGCTGTTAACACATAACTAAATAACATAAATTTACATATACAACATTACAGCTTACGCCATTAAGTTATACTGTTAATTTTATATAAATACTTTTTATCTAGGTACTTAAAAAACTAATTAGGATTAAATACAAAAAAAACAATACAAATTTAAAAAACAAAATAAAAGTACTTAATATTTAACATAAATTTTATTAAGATAACAGAATTATTTGAAAAACAACTTATTCACATTAAAGTTGTCTCGCCATTGCTGTTTGCTATCACAATAAATAATAAAAAATGTGGAACCCGTACAAATTAAACAAAGTGACGATAGTGTGCAAATACTAAAAGAACTAAAAATAATAAATTCTGTTGAGACTGTCTCTTAAGTTCTGAATATAAAATTTGGTGTCCTTTGTCCCTACATATCGTATAATGGTATGTGGCAAACCCTCATAAATGTTTAATTTTACAAAAACTTGGACATCAGCAGTGAAAATTTCAACATAGACATTGGGTACCACCGCACAAAAGGTTATCATCTCAATGCATAACATACGTCGAAATCAAAATAAGAGGTGACGCAAGTACAAATGCAAAATTTGGTACTATTACACTTTCAAATTTTTATTAATATGCAATCTTGTCATGCAGAATTGACAGGCCTGAACGTTCTGGAAAATAACGATGCACTGAATTGATATTTTCGTTTGATTTACATAGACCTTGGTTTTACGTATCAGCATAAAGAGGCCATAGCCCACATGCATTTATGAGAGCGCGCTCCTGTGCCGTTTCTCTTAAATCGAAAATTAGGTTTTAAACCGTTACGATAAAGGCCTTCGCCACGCCAAGGAATTCGGGCTTTGAAGTGTTTAAACACTCACTTTGTTCGTATAATTTTTTCTATTAACATGTATATTTGTATTGTATGACAGCGATGGTACTAGTGTACACCTACCACCCCGCGTGCACGACTTTGATGAATAAGTATCTGTCCGGTGGTGCTGGGAACGCCGTCAACGATGCGAACGGTGCCTTCCACGACCCGTTCTCCTCCGACCCGGATGCACCCCGTCCATATACTCATCAGGTTTGATTCCTATTGGCAGTTAAACTTTTGTACTATAAATATGCTATTTTCTAGTATCATGTTACGAACATCCTCGTTTTGATCACAGTAATATAAATTTTCCTCATTCGACGCCAACTTACTGTGCCGAGACATTGATCGAATTACCACCTTTGAGTACCTACACCGATGCAAGAAAACATATTTGTCATGCAAAATCATAAAACTTGAAACGTTTACCTGAAGCGAATGAGGGTCGTCGCTGTTTAACTAATGTATTGATCCTTTTGCAATCAAAATGTGAAAACAACATACATTTTTTATTTGCTCTTTGAACTGCATGACTAACAAATTGGTGGTAAAACGAACCTATTGAAAAAACAACTTTATGGTAGGCACAGTAAGTTGGATCACTCAAATGTAACGGAAATTTTAACTAGAATAGAATATCAACTACTAGGTGCCAACTGGTTGTAAGTACTGAACAACAATTTATAATTATGTATGAATGTATGAATACTCGTATCATCGAAGCTCATACCATCCCATTGGTACTTCTGAAGTTCCCCTGTAAAAATATATGACAAATGCAGAAAAATGCGATGCTCCGTGCGGTGGCGAGTGGTGCTTTGCTCCCTGAGGCTGTACTGTGGAGTCTCCTTGTGCAACTCACGGCGGCGCTAAGAGCAATACACACTGCTGGACTAGCGTGCAGGTATACCAGCCGACTCCAAATTTCTATGCTTAACATAAGTAGCGAAATTATATTTCACTGCTGTAAAGGACTATGGCACCTAATGCATATGTAATGTGAAACCTTTTCCCCAGTAGCTTGGATCCTACGAAGGTGGTCATGAATGGTTGTCGAGTGCGCATATCCTGGTCCGGGGCCACCGATGCTCTGCATGCTAACAGTACTGATATCGCGCAGGTAACATCACTTATAGTACATATTAAATCTGCATACATTGATGTCACAAAAGCGTTATTCAATTTTTATATACTATATAACTGAACCTAAGTGTAGCTTTGTAGTGTCGACGTTTAATTTTACTGTAGTACAAACTAAGTATCATAAATATGCTAAGTTATTGCCTAGCGTTAAAAAAGTGCGATTTTTACAACTAACAAAATTATTAATCATCAACCATTGGCTTTTTGGCTAGTTGACACTTGTACCACTGTCTAACACAATAACCAATCAAACCCATACTATTCGTCGTAGGCACAGCAAGACGACTTGACGGCTCTGGGTAGACTCGCCCTGGCGCTGGCCTGCCGCACGATCCACTGCGACAACCTCGCCGCCTCCATGGAGCTCGTCGCGCGAACCTACTCCGCCGACCTAAAGAACCTTATACTGTATGACAATACCGTTATTTATGTACACTGCCATTTAAGCTTATACACTACTTTTCATTCTGATCTTAATTACAGGAGTTTTCGCCATTTTCTTTTTCGTATATTGATCCAAACGGTTTCATTTAGTTTCTTTTGCTATGCGAGACTTTACATTATTTCAATATTAAAGTTTTATCATTCGATTACATTCAAATCACTCTAAAATACGCATCTTCTTTTCAGTCACTAATATTATTCACTAGCCCGGATTTAATAAGTCTTTTCGTACGCTACTTCGTAGTAATGTAGTATTAAAACATAATATTTCGTGTAAAAATATTTTGTCCGTGAGCAGACGATAAGACTTATTTAGTCTTCCCCTACATTTTGCTTATAATGTTTTATGTTAGTCTCTCATTTACACGGTCGAGTATCCCTTTATGTTTCATATTAAGATGCGAGGTAAAAAGAAAGGTTATTGTCATTGCATTGGCAGGGTTAATATGCGAAACCTGATAAATCAACGGGTTGCGGGGGTCGGACAACAATCGCCCCGAAGTCTGCGTGCGCTGGTTTCAATGAGCACATAGCTGTAGTAGCTTTTAGCAAAGCGGATCAACACAATATGCCAGAGGGTCCGCCATGCTGCAGAAGAAGAAGTAGTTCTCATAACAAAGACTTACTGATTCAAACAGTGCGACTGGCACAGAACATTGATACGTATGTCTTTGGAGTAACCTTTCAGATATATGTCTAATACTGAATGGATGTAGATCATTATTTATTTGTACGCTAGTCATCGGTGTTGAATACTTTATTCGTGACATGATAGGTACTGCTTAAGCTTTCGATGTTCCAACCTCATATGTGACCCGTTTGCGTGCCCTCTATATGTGACCATTATTGTGCGTGTACACTACAACACTTATGATTGTTGTTTCTGTATTATGTTAAATTCCATCTAGGTATTTATTATCGTCGTCGACCGCTCGCCGCTCCGTCACTGATCTCATGCCGATGATAGGTGCCAGGTTTTACACGCAGGTAATTTTATTTGTTTCCTCCATATTTATGTACCGTTTCACGATTATCTCTGTGAAAGTAGTTTTACTCACAGGTAAATTATATTTCAATACTAAAATGCATTAATGTTGTTATTTTGATCGTCCATTTCCATGTAGATAGTCGGTTCTAGAAATGTATGTTGAAGAGCATGTTTCTGCTTTTATAGTTAAAAGTACATTTATGTCGTAAGTAGTTATTGAATGGTGAAGTTTCGTTGCAACCGATCATTTATGGTAGTGGTTTGATTCATGTCGCGTTACATCGAGAATGTATTTGAGGATACACGCCGTGTAAAGTTCAGGTAAAACGTACTTGCGTGAGGCATACATATTTTAAAATTGAGTTTAAAAGTATAATATTATAACTTGAAAATATTTCTGTAGGTGGAGGCGTTGGAGCGACGTGCCGATGTATTCGAAGATCAACTGGCTCGCGAGATTGATAATGGAAGACTGTTACGCATACTCATCAAATTAGGAGTAGTTAACGAGAGGCCCGAGTAAGTACTAACTATATCTATGCTGCTTATAGTTAGACAATTTGATTAGATATGATACGATTATACTTGCCATATTTTCCACAGTTTGACTTAGTATAAATAATGTTGGTGTGGTAGGGCCATGGTAGTGGTACAAATGGTCCGCGAAACAACGGTTGTCTTGTGTTCCGTTGTGTGAATGAGATTACTGGAGCCCATTAATTAAGCTCCATCTAAAAGGTTTCAAAATTCTGTCGCTATTAAAAAAGTTTGATACATAAATAGGTAATTGAAAACTATATTTAATTATCATCTAGTTGCTAAGACTTTATGTGTTTACAGGTTGAACCTCGATGCCTCTTGGTCGGAGACTGGTGACCGGTACATGTTGAAACTGTTCCGGGATTACTTGTTCCACTCGGTTACCGCAGACGGTAGACCCTGGCTCGACCAGGCGCATCTGGCGCACTGCCTCAATCAGCTCGATGGGGGCACTACGGCGAGGGTACGTTAATATCTGCGCAACACAAAGATTATAAAAATACAAAATTGATATTACCCATAAATCTAAACTACCATAACTACAAACATTTATAACTATCTTCCACACAAGTACATATTTGTTAGGCATTAAAGAAAATTGCATTGTGTAAATTGGTCCTTATGGAGAATGTCATCCTAATCATAAAACGTACATAGTATCTCTGATATATAATACTGAAGGATATACTTTCATAATCAGACATATTATTCGAGAAGCTGAGGTCGTTCAATTAAATTCTCGCTATTATTCAATAGGGTGATAGTCAGCGGCGCAGTTGCACTGCTGCAGATTTATATATACTTATATATCCAGATCCACTCTATATTGCATCTACATATATTTCAATTGAATGCAATATTATTACACTTTTGAATTGGTTCTTTTAATTTTGTGCAAGTCGTATGAGATAGATGTATTGTTATTATGTATGTTGATGGGGATTCTGTAGGTAAATATAGTGAAGAATGTTATTTGGTGCAGGTGGAGCTGATGTCCCGTGACGAGCAGAGCGTGCTGGTGGTGTCGTACGCCGAGCTGAAGCACTGCCTCGAGCAGGCGTTCGAGGAAGTGATGCAGGCGGCCGCCGCCGAGCCCTAGCTGCCGGCTGCGTGCTCGGCCGGCTACACATTGCAATAACTCGAGTAATTACTCCATCGCTGCCTTCACATGCTCGGTGTTCTTTACATGCCGCCGCTACATCACGCAGCAAACACCACACTGAACTGACCTAAACTAATAGTTGTAAGAATATTGACTCGTTTTAGTCTCTCGCATGTCAAGGATATCCGTCGTATGTATAAACACGTGTTAGTATGCGTTGCATGTGCATTTTTTGACGATGTTAGTAGTCCAGTTAAAGATATAAATGTTAATTTATTTGTAATGTGAAGCCGCCGAACCGGTCCGTGTTCAATTCTGTCATCCGCGAATAAAATATTTTTGTAGGTGCGTCGCAACTATTGTGCTGGATTCGTACAAGTTCGTATATTCGATGGCAGTTATTGAACCAGTGGGGATATCATTGTTACTTCCCCTATTGGGGCACAGAACATCTCTGGGATTACCAAAAATAACGAGTTATAGTGAACAAGGCGCTCGTCGCTACTTCCTTATCCTTCAGAAGCTCTCTCGTCTAATTTAGTATTACACGACAGAGCCGACAGAGTAACAATGCTTTTCTAGGAATATTCCTGACTCTGGGTTGTAACACGATCTCATTTCGGAAGCGGTCTCGACCCCTAGAACGCTTCTCAATAACTGCACCATATAAACAAAAGATACAATATTTTTTATACTTATGACGCTATTATTTATCTCTTTAATGATTTGAATTGAAATTAATTTTGCGTATAAATTATATATACTCTAGGAATTGACCTATTCCTGATTAGAGTAACCGGTCACGCCCACTAAATTATTGCATGAAATTGGGCCTTATCGAAGTACCGTTACGGTTAGCCGCCTGAACAAACGCCACAAACATTCCAAACTAACAACAACAAATGGTGAGAGCTGTCAAACGACTGTTTTATTGAATTCAGAATTGAGCAGTTTGTAGTAAGCTGGGCGACGCGGCGGGTCCCGCTGTTGTCGCTTTATCGAAAGACAACGGCACGCGTGCGCTTCACGTAATTAAACTGAGGTACATGATTCCACGGCCACGGCCACATCGCATAATGTTAATGTTAAATGTTGCCGAGCGCATCAGTTTACTTACCGGAGACACGAGTGTACTCGTTGCTAGTATAGTTACTGTTACGTCACGTAGATCTGAATTTGTATTGTGTTGGGGGCGGGGCGGTGCGGCCACCCGGTCTGATAATATTAGCAAGATCGGAAAGATCTCTATAATAAACCTATGGCAATAATACAGTTTTATATGGCCGCAGGCGGCACGCAGTGGCCACCTCGCCCTCGTCTATCAAGTTGTTGCAGTTTATAAAACATTACATAAATTTTATTGCAATCTGTTTCACTCTCCCCTAGGCGTTGTTGCAACGTCTGTCTTCTTCGGCCGTTGCAGCTCGTCGATTGTTTTAGATATAGGGTTCCGCAGAGAAGTAGAACATTATTCTTAACTAATTTATGTAAGAAAATTATTTGTATCGATCAAACTATAAATTATTTTTAAATGTTAGTCATCGCTGGTTATTTAGGTGTTAAGCAGGGTAAGCGAACAGAGCTTTTGATAAGTTAAACGACGTTTAAATTTATTTTGCTATGCACTTTTGCGATTAAATAAATCACGCTCAATTCGTCCATCCTATAATAATTGTGATCACTGTTAAATTAATGGAAAGTAAATAGAAGAATACGTATTTATAGATTGATGTTCTGTTTGGCTGCGGAAACCCTATATACTCATGTTGATCCAGGGCAAGCTTATTATTCTACCCAAGTTGGTAACTTTGTATCTATAATGTGTTCAAGAAGTTACTGTTTACCATAAATGACCCATTTTTGGGAGAAATATATGACTATAGATCAATAGATGAAATGTACCCAGGTGCCTGGGTATAATATGTTCTAATATTTATTTTGAAAGTAGTCACCCCATTGTTGAATTTGCAAATTCCGATCTATGTAGAGATGGACTCTGAGAATAAAAATATTTTGAGATAACTATAAGTGTATATTTTTTTCTAACAAATAAAACGTTTTAACAAATAATGCTGTTTTATTTTTTCCTCTTATATGTCAGCGGATGTTCCACCTATGAATTAAGAAGGCAAAGACGTCAATCATGTTAAGAGCCTGAACAATTTTAAGTCAATTTGAATATTTGCAACATCATTCTGCAAATTCTGATCGGGGTGCCTTCTGTTACTCCGACATTTTTATTATATCATCAATTGATTTCTCCGGAGGGAGTGTCAGACTCTTACTAACTAAAAACCTCCGTTCTTTGAGGCAGCGGAGCCTCATTGTGCTTACCCCGCAACCCCGGCTGAACATCAGCCCTAAAAGCAACCGTCTGCTCCACGCTCGGGTCTGGTTTTGGTCGGGCGACGAGCTGCCCTCGTTCGCCGTCCGCAGACCGCTTTCGGTGCCCGGAGATCGTCTCTCGATCCCCGAACCCCGGAGTGTTGCCTACTTTGGCGGCTGGGACGTGAGGAGGAGGATAGCTCCCTGACGCGCTCCACCTCCTTCTTTGCAAGCATAACTGCTTCGCACAAAGAGACGGCGTTTCAGTTCCTCTCGTTCCGCACCATGGCCTCGACAAAGACAGGGCGCGAGAGGTCGAGGGATTTTTTTTTGCCTAAATGAATCCGACTCACAATACCTATTTATTACTGTCGGCTTCTTACTAAATCAAAACTACGCAAGTGCTCCGTCTCACAGTCTCACACGACTCGCATGAGGATGCTGGAAAGTCTGTAAAGAGGAGGTAAAGAGATAATTTCTTCTAAATAGTTTGAGGTCATTTAATTACGTAACGTACGTACGTAAAAAGTACACCTGCAAAAGCTTTATTACTCACTGTGAGTGACACCCACATTAGAGTAACTTGTAAGATAGATATTCACATAAAACTGGTAGATAACGACTAACTTCACACAAGGAATTCCAGTATAAGATAGAGCCACATCGCTAGTGTTACAAGACCTTACATTTTTGTTCATTTATTTTAGTAGCTAATCTTGCGCGGTTTCATTTAATCGTACCCGCTGCTTGGCTCCATTTAATTGTAGCGTGATGTTTAGCACTCAGGAACATTGTAGCTATCTATAGGTGAAAGAATTTTGGCAATCCGACCAGCGGTTCCAAAGATTACCCCCTATATACAAACTAACAAATTTTCCCTCTTTATAATATTAGTATAGACAAAGGTAGGTAAGGTATAATAGAATTTTTCTTGGTTTTCGAAATTTCCTCAGCGTGACGCGATGGATTCATCCTCTATCACATTGGATGGATATCCTAACACAAGGCAGGTATAAGAAGTAGGTGCCATTGTATGCCCTACCTACACCGCCTTCACCTTCAGAAACTAAAGGAGTGACTGTATGTACTTGTGTATAACATATATGCACAAAGATTAAATGCCCAGAAGTGCATTGATAAATAGTCTTACTTATATTACAAATGGGAAAGTTACGATGTTTTGATGTGTGTTACTCAGTCACGCGAAAACAGCTTGACGGATCTGGATGTAATTTAGGACAAGCATAGGATACCTACACTCCGGAATAGAACATACCTAGGCTATTTTTCGACATAGGTAGGTACCACGCGGGCCGAGCCGGGGCGGAAGGTAGTACGCCAATAAATATATCAGCGATTGCAATCGCAATACTACGACTCGTCTACTTCGTTTATAGTTATTTACATATCATAATATTTGCATCCTCCTACAAACAGACATGAAATTCATCAGTTATCGCACTAATCAACCTACCAGTGGTATTAAAATTACACCTATTGATCTTATAGATAGGATTCAAATTTCTTGAAATTCATGCTGTGTAGTCGACACAGTTCATACTAGTATAGTCGTCAACGTTATATGTTATTTTTAGGTAATAGAATCACTATTGTTTTGTTAACAATGTGTAGTAAGTTTAAGAGAAATTATGTGTGTTAAATCAATTTATAAATAACTAGATAATCTCGTGCGGGTATAAACGTTGCTCGGCTCTATTTGATCGTAGTGTGATGTTTCATAGTCTATAGCACTCAGGAACATTGTAGCTAGGCATCTATCGGTGAAAGAATTTTGGAAATCCGACCAGCGGTTCAAAAGATTACATACAAACTTATAAAATAACAAATTTTACATCTTTATAATATTAATAAATAAATAATATTAATAATTTAATAAATAAAATAAATATATTAGCATACTTTCACTTTCTTTCGATGTAAGAATAATTTCATTTTAAATATTAATTAATTGATTAATAAGCACATAAAAAGACCATAATATGTACACATATTCCTTACCAAACTAGGAATGTCTACGTCGTTTGTTGATTTGTTGTGTTATCAAAATTAAATTCTTATAGTGTGTGGTCGGCTTTATCTGCATACTTACTATATGTTTAAAATCCGTAGTGGATGTAAATGATCGAATTTGAACGCATCCGATATTTCTAGAGTTATCCATCCATCACTTTGCTGTCTTCCGATACTATACCACAGACATTTAAACATGTGTATAATCTATGCCACAGACTGTACGGTCTGTTTGTAAATGTCAAACAAACATTAGCGCAGTGTGTGTGTGAAACACGGTCGCACGGTTTATTTTATTCACTCAAGAATACTTACTTAAATGCTCATACATAACTGCATCCGATCATTATTTTATCCCATGTAGTTGGTTGCACTACCACAGTCTTGTTACATCCGGCGGTGATAGCACCAGTGCAATGAATCCCGTCTGCTATAATGGGGGGGCCCATGATAGACTTATACATGAGGCTGACCAGCTCATTTCTCATATCGAGCGTGGTTCCATGATCCTGAAACTTTATCCGCGTAAGCGGCCCGAGCGTCGTTCTCTGTCTGTAAGAAGAGAAACCCTACAAATAATATGGGCTAGGGCAGGTATTCCACCGAAGAATATGTTTGAGGGCGCGCTCGACATACGTGACATCAAGGAAGTGAGACTCGGCAAGGGTTCCAAACATTTTGAGCGGTGGGCGGAGGAGGTGAAAAGGCTGGAAAGCTCCAAATGTTTCACCATCTATTATGGTTCTGAATTCAAACTGCGCGCAGCTTCGTTTGCAGGTAATTTATAGTTTGTAAACATGTCTAATTATATCGGGAGCACTAAATTGTCACATAAATTGCTAGCTGGATGTGAGACTCTTATAGAATTTGCTTTGCCAAGTTATTGTTATGATTGGTGTATGTACACATTTCTGGTGAAATGTATGTTTTTACTCTGAGTCATTGAGCTACTTTAATAATCTGCAGCTCAAACTGACAAGGAATGTGAGGCCTGGGTAAAGGGAATCAGGTTTCTAATTGAGGAGGCAGTAAATGCATCATACCCCTTGCAAATTGAGAGATGGCTGCGGAAGGAGTTTTATGCTATAGAAAATGCTCATGAAAAGTAAGTAGAAGTCTTGTTTATTTGATACAATGTATATTAAAATATTCCTAACCTTCAGTAGGACAACCATTGTCAAATGTGAATACTGAATAATAAAATATATCCTTTTTTTGTATTGGCATTTGATATCACATACAATTGTAGCCATGTTCAGAATGTAGACAGGGAGACTTCTTTTTACATACATTACACTGATTTTTAAACAGGGAATTTATAATGAAAATAGACAACAAAAAACAAGCAGCAAACTAATTTTTATCAATACATATTAATGTGTGCAACTGAATACAATTTATAGCATCAACTTGAATGTAAATTGATTTGAGATATTTTTTTAAATTCTGTCACATTTAAATAAATGGAGTATTTTCTAAGATTATCTAGAGATAACTAACATATATTATGAGGAATTCTGTATGTATATCTAATTATATTTTTAAAATTGTCAATCTGAATCATGCAAGCCTGAAAAATATCTTCTTCATGCAAGAAAAGAACTTTGCTTTGTAATAGGTACATATTTTATAGGCTGTTGATGATACTACAAAAATGAATAGTCTAATATTGATTGAGTAGGATGGCTGTGTCAAATACACTATTATAATATACATCAGTGATTAGGTAGTGGCTGCATATGACGAGGTTTAGAACAGGATACACAGAAATTAAAGGATTTTAACTTATGTACAAGAAAAAAATCATTAGCAGCAAAGTTTTTAACACAGAAAATTACTGAGAAGTAAAAAACCATTATTATATTTTTTCAGTATCACACAATCAATTTTGTTTTACAGAAATATAAATTGTGGTTACCAAGCTGCGCATATATGTATATAAGTAGACACCACGGTTCACTTATGTAAGCTTCTATATTAAACTAGGTAGTTATTTCTTTATTTCTCTATAAGTTTTTTGCATCATCACAAATGCAAATAGAATTGGTGGAGTGACTATAATTGTCACAGTGAAATTTCATTACATTAAAAAACTACAGATGTTGTAGTCACACAATATCAATGTAAAGACATCCTAACAGTCTAGGGTTAATACTTTCACAACTTAGACATTTTACAACCGTGAAATATATGCAAAAATATTGTTATGTTGCCTAAAACAATAAATTAACATTTAAAATACATTTAAAAATTGCATTTTACTAAAGATATGTTTCATAGCGACTAATGCATTGCTCAGTTCAAGTCATATAGTTTTTTTTGAAACCTCTACGAAGTTTTAAGTTCGAATGTCCATGTCCACATGTCATAACAAATATTATGCTTTGTAGCGATTTAATTTCAACCTTTATTTACTTCATTTGTATGCTACGTCTTCCTGTATGTGACTGTAAGACTTATGTATATTTTGTATTATTTATTATTTAGCATCTCATTGAAGGAAGTGAAAGGATTCCTTCCAAAAATTAACTGCAAGATAGCAACCAACAAGCTGCGGGATATATTTCAAGAGGTGGACACAGACAAAAGGGGAGAAATCGGTTTCGACGACTTCTCTAGCCTTTACCAGAAACTTATTTTTGACGAAAATGTAAGTCTAAGTCTCACGTTAACATTAATTTTCACGTTTTATTATTATTTTTTATTATAACTAATAATTTTACCAAGATCCTATTCTTTCTTTGGTTTGTAATAAACTTTTTAATTACTTCTTCATTAAAATCTACTTATTTATTAATAAATTTAAACATAATCAGTTAATTGTGTGATTTGTATCAACAGAATGTCCACGATATTTTTGATAAGTACTCGTTGTACTGCAAGAATGGCTCGACGATTACATTGCGTGAGTTCCAAAGCTTCCTCCGTGTGGAACAGCATGACAGGCTTGGAGATGACGAGGCCGTCGCCTCCCAGTTTATACGAGATTACCTGCGTGATCCACAGAGGGATATCTATGAGCCGTATTTTACTCTAAATGAGGTATACTTTTAATATTTTATTTTAATTAGGAATACATCCATATAAGCATTAATACTTTTAGTAACAACTGAATCCTTTAAGGGTAATAGACTCTTGTTATAGCTGCCGAATTTTTCCAGTTTGTTGAGATGCTGTTCTCAAAACAAAACACCATCTGGGACAGTAAACATGACGCTGTGACGCAGGACATGACGAGACCACTATCCCACTACTGGATATCTTCATCACATAATACGTAAGCACCTTTCCTCTCAAATTTCACCTTAAATTCTCTCTACATGTACGCCCACATCGATTGACGTCAACAAGAAATATTGACGTAACTGTAGTGTCGAGATTTATAACATGTTTCTAACTCTGCTTGAACTTTGTTTCTCCCTCTAGGTATCTAACCGGCGACCAATTTTCGAGTGAATCGTCTTTAGAAGCTTACGTTCGTTGCCTGCGCTCTGGGTGTCGATGCATTGAACTCGACTGCTGGGATGGCCCGGATGGAACTCCATTTATTTACCACGGCCACACACTGACTACCAAAATAAGATTTATGGATGTTCTGCGAACAATAAAAGAACACGCTTTCGTGGCTTCCGACTACCCTTTGATTTTGTCGATTGAGGATAACTGCACCTTGCCTCAACAACGTCGCATGGCGACCGCTTTCCAAGATGTCTTCGGAGACATGCTGGTCGTCCAGCCTTTCGATAAAAACGAGACTTGTTTGCCCTCCCCTGAAAACCTTCGCAGAAAAATAATTCTAAAGCACAAAAAGTTACCCGAAGGGGCGGAGGAAACTTCCTTTTCGTTTCGCCAAGAAGAAGTTAAGGATTTGGATTTGCGAAATTCTATCAAGAACGGCATATTGTTGCTCGAAGACCCGGTGGACAAGGAGTGGAATCCGCACGCTTTCGTACTGACGGAATCTAAGCTGTATTATACTGAGCATTACAGCAATCAGCAGGAGACTGATGCAGAGAGTGATGGAGAACCCGAAGCTGAAGCCCCCGTAGTGCCTCAGGAGGAGCTGCACTTCGGGGAGTGCTGGTTTCACGGCAAGCTCGCGGGGAATAGGCAGGAGGCTGAGGAGCTGCTGAGGAACCACGCTCACCTCGGAGATGGCACTTTCCTTGTTCGCGAGAGCGTTACCTTCGTGGGCGACTACTGTCTGTCCTTCTGGCGTCAGGGCAAGGTCAATCACTGCCGCATCAAGTTGAAGCAGGAGCGCGGTGTCACCAAGTACTACCTCATTGACACCGTCTGCTTCGACAGTCTCTACAGCTTGATCACACATTACAGGCAGCATCCATTGCGTAGCCAGGTAAATTTCACTGACTTAACATACTTAAAATTTTCGTTATAAATGTAGGTCAGTTTTCTTTAAAAGTTGTTTTTGTTTAGGAGTTCTTGATAACGCTAAGGGAACCTGTACCTCAGCCAAATAAGCACGAAGGCAAGGAGTGGTTCCACCCGTTCTGCACTCGGGCTCGGGCAGAAGAGTTACTGCGCAAGGCCAACACCGACGGCGCCTTCCTAGTCCGGCCCAGCGAGAAGGACAACTCTTCCTTTGCTATAAGTTTCAGGTATGTATCTATTGAATAAACTTGCATCATATCGTTAGGGCTTATCAAACAAAATAATCTTTTCTGGTTTGCTGCTGGCGATCCATTCATTAGGAATATAAGAAATATACTATAAAGATTTATATTCATTTTAAATGTAATTGTAGACTCTCTCATTGGACGAATAGACTGCTGAGTAAGGTTTCGGGGTCGATCGGGATTTGGCGACAAAAAGAGTACGCTTTTTGTTTTATCGAAAATTTCTCAGTATATTAGAACGAAGTCTGGAATTGTGTCCGGTCTATAGCCATGAGCTCTTATTCCACTATTATTGTTAACCTCACAAATAAGTAAATTGCACTTGCACTTCGTTGTTTTCGCCCTCAAATGGGGAAATGTCATGTAATGACTTGTCTAGTCAAGAAAAGTGAGAGGGAGTGTCAAACTTGTACTAACTAAAAACCCCCTATTCCTTCTCCTGCGCTAAGCCTTGACCGCGGAGACCCAGTTTTATTAAGCATCGTTACACCGCGTGTTTGACACCATAGTTCCTAGTCGTATACCATTCATAAAGTAATGTATGATTACAAAGGCGTCAAGTATCACGCGAACTACATCTGTGCTGAAGCAATCGCTGCAATCAAATATTTTGCGTTCCGGCCCCTCTGCTCTAACAAGCAAGAACAATAAGAAAATTGATGTGATTGAATTGAAAAATGCGTTTAAATTGCTGTTATCTAGTGCATCTATCATTTTATTTATTTGATTAGCCATGCCTCCTTGACACGTATATGCGTTTATGCAGTGGAGGTCTTTGGGATAGTATTAGCTGTAGTATCAGTATATCGTTGGGTGTTGCATTGTGAGTACCTCCAACTACACGTAGGTACATAGTGTTCCCCTGATAACAATCTAAACCTAGGGGCAACTACATTGTAATAATCGCATCCGGAGAACATTCTTTGTGCGATAAATATTTAAATTTTGTGATAATTCGTTTACAAAATAGTATTAAAATCTGATTCTGTTTTGAATACCTTTTATGTAGCAACAATAAGTTGCATGTCAAAGTACTAATCTTAAGGTCATCGATAGGTACCGTCACATTGCATCTTTCTTATTATAATACGTACCTAAGTAGGAACATTGTCATTATAAGTGCATTATCCGCATGCTAACCAGTTTTCTATAGGTATATCTTTATTTATATAGTAAGGCTTCATTGGTTCTTACAAATACTTAGTAGCTTTCAATTGTGAGTTTTGTCTATTCGTTTGAGTACGTACACAGCGTTCTAAGGATAAAATACCTGGAATTATAAATATAGGTAATTTTTAAAAACATTTTATTTATCAATAATTTTATTTCGTTTTAAGTGTGAGTGAAACTGTAACTATTTAACACTTACAAGTTTGAACGTTGTGGTATATAAGCCAATGATATTTACGATATCTAAAAATTGGATTCAATCGACCCGTTGACCTACTGACTTGACCAATAAATATTTGCAAATGATGATTCTAGGAATAGAATTACTACATAAACACCAAATGTGTGACAGTGAATGAGGCCAGTAAATAAATTCCATACTCAAAATGCAACTAAAACAATAAAACATAAACTGCAAGCAATGCAAGAAAATGCCCTTGAAACGGCGAAGGAATATAAATAAAGTAGTTGTAAGTGTTTTTTCTCCTGACCTTTCCCAACTAGGCCGGGGTCAGCGTTGAATCTCAGCTAATTGTTTACATTTTGCGAAGAGGTGCTAGTTTAATGCCGAAGTCGATAGACTGGGATACACGGTTCCTAGTTTCTTCTACATGTTGGACCTAATAAAGATTTTAGTATAATTTCTGTGATAATTGACTGGACATACAAATATTTTAGCTATGGTGGGGAGGGGGGGGGGGGAGAAAGGTCATCAATGACCTCTCTCGCCATCGCCCGGGTAGGGTGAGAGGGATTGTTAGACTTTCTGATTAAAAACCGCCCCTTTCCCTCTCTTGCTCCAGCCGGGGCCATAGTAAAAGAGAAGTTTGGTCTCAATCCATTTATGGTCCGTATTGTATCAAGTGAAAAGCACCATAGCACCGCGAGCGACACTAAAATATTGATTTGATTTTCAAATTTTATGCAGTTGCAAACAGTCTGGATTTGTTGATTCTTACCCTGCTTGTATTTGCACATAATTATCAATGATTCCAACTGATAAGTTCATCGGACGCCAAAGGTAAATCATGTTATGACTGGCACATTTAGATAATAGTAGGTATGACGGTTATATCTACGTGATGTAGCTACTCCACAATAGATAGTACCTACATGACTCATATGGGAATTAAATGGCTGGCATACGTCCTATATTATCCTAAAAAAATCAAATTGTGTACACCTTATTACCATACTTAAATGTAGATTTTACTCAAATTTATAAATGGAAAATTACTCTGGCTTCTAGTATAAATGTGAAAATTGTAATTTCCGTTGAAGTAATCATAATAGCGGCTATGACTAGCATAGGTACATGCTTAGAAGTGGTCGTCGTTTCAGGCCGTTTGTAATAACGTGGTAACTAATAACATATATAGGTAGAATGTAGAAGTTAATAAATGTTACGTAACTATATTTTCAGGACGCAAAGAGAGATAAAGCACTGCAGGATTAAGCTCGAAGGGAGACTGTACACTATCGGCACGGTGAGGTTTGAGAGCTTGGTTGAGCTGGTCAGCTACTACGAGAAGAATCCTTTATACAAAAAGGTTACGCTGTGGCTGCCCATCAGCGAAGAACTTGTTAGGCGTATCATTGCCGTAAGTAATAATTTATGTACCACTTGTGGTCCTGGGTCCTATTTAGCGAGTTTTCATTTACCGTCCATAAAGACCTTATCTTTACAACAGAAGCAGATATTTTAAATGTCTAATAATGCTTAAAAACAGTCACGTCAGAAAATAAGTAGTAATTTATTATTATACAGGAGCCCGACGATAACACGGTGTACGGGACCCCTGGCTACATGGATCCGACAGCTTTCACCTCAAAGGTAATTTAATAATATTTTCACTAAATACTTTTTGCATAGTTGACTGTTATATGAGCAATTAGACACACAGTAATGAGATGCCAAAGCCCAAAATGTACTTAATATTCAGAAAAGGTTTTCTGTAGAAGAAACTAACATGCTTTTAATAAAATAATATGATCGGTCCCATGCATGGTACTACAATATGGAGAATTAATTCGGCAATTCTTGCATGTATATTTACTAATAAAAATAAAGTTTCAAATGCCATTGTAATAACGGCAAAGGTTGGCCTCGCACAATACTGCATCAAGTGGCTCACTCAGTACCTACAAGTAATATGTTCGACAGGACAATCGAGGTTTCGTGTTACGATTATATATATTAAATATGATTAGGTCGCCCACTAAATGTTGTTGAGACAAAAAAGTTGAGTAATTAAGTATAAAAGTATTGTGCTATCTCTCTCTGACGCTCCTAGTTAAATAGTAATGACTTCACTTGTGGTTTATTATCTTCTTATCCTGTTAATACGCAATTAGAATTTGTTACTGAATTAAACGGTTTTTAATACGGATTTAGTAATAGTAGCTTCTTTCTTTCTGTAATGTAATGTAATGTGATGATAAATTACAATTTTTACAATCTTCTCTATAATGTTTTCTTATATGTATAGATTCAGGAGATACGGAGTTATGGTGGATCGGTGAACAGGTTAACTAACAAGCTTATAGATAATGCACTTAGTTTTACCATTAGCTGTACCATTTTACCTTTCATTGTATTTAATAACCTGCTAGTTCTTAAAGCATACATAACATAACTACATAATAGATTTAAGAACGAATACTTTTTTTAAATTGGCAAGTTGTTGAATACAATCTTACCTTTTTACTTATTATTTTAAGTTTTAACAAAAAGTATTTATTCAAAAGTTTGTTTTTATTTTACCTCATTGTTAGCTAGTTGAATACTACAAATGTAGTAATGTAAAATTATTAATAAACGCTGCCTTACGATTGTAATACCAGAGAAATTTCTCTCGTATAACCATTAACCGGCGCAGCTAATACTTTTAAAAATTTTGCATAGACTGCTTATGATTAAATTTTAATGTGCACGTATGACTTACTGCTTACTTTGGTCATGAAATTATCTACTAATAGCAACCACTACTTCGTAAGTGGGTATTTGGAAAATTACATTTAACATCGTAATATGTTAAAATTTACACAAAAGTAGAAATATCATTAGAAATCTATCAATTGTGTAGATTTAAGTATTAGCTTGCGTACCAATCAGTTTGTGGTATAAGAGCTTTTAGATACTTTATAGTCTTAATAATGTTGCTAATGAAGAGTTTGGTGCAGGTGACTGTGAAAGCTCTGTATGACTACCGTGCGCGCCTGGACGACGAGCTGTCGTTCTGCAAGCAAGCTATCATCACGAATGTGGACAAGCCGGACGGAGGCTGGTGGCGCGGAGACTACGGCGGCAAGAAACACCACTGGTTCCCAGCTAACTACGTGCAGGAAATAGAGGTTCCGCACATTCCCGACGGCCCAGTTAGTATTGTTGACTCGGTAGCGACTAGCGACGCAATCACGCAACGCATCCATCGTGATAGGGACCCGTAGACACATCGTGTCTACAATAACATTTTATTATTTCTTATTTAGGTTGTTGATACATAACAAGCATCACTCCATATTGGTTTTGTTAATTGTCTACTATCTAACTTAATATTTCCTTATTTTACTTACTCTTTCTTCTTTTCTTTTGTTTTCATTTTTGTTTTGACTGTATGTTTAATGTTTTGAGTGAGTTTCTAATGTAACTTATTGTCATAGGGTCTCGAGAACGAAACCGCAGCTTTGGGCTCATTACAGAAAGGCGTCGTAGACGTGCTAGGCGCTGTGGTGGAACTGGTAGTGGGTGAGGAGGGCGGCGCGCCGCGCTGGCTGGTGCGCATACAGAGCCCGCAGATGTGCGGCCCCTTCGACATGGCCGCGCCCACCCGCGAGATAGCCCTCGAATGGCTCACCGCCATCAAAGAGGCAGCCATAAGTGCCAGTGCCCGCTCCCTCCAACATAAAAAGATGGAACGCACATGGAGAATTGCTAAAGAAATGTCCGACTTGATAGTCTATTGTCGCTCCGTCACTTTTAATCAGGAGCGTATCCGCAACAAGGGCTTCATATTCAATGAGATGTCTTCGTTCCCTGAAACCAAAGCCGAGAGGCTGATGTGCCAACAGGAGACTCCATTCTTCCTCAAGTATCATACCAAACAACTGAGTCGCATTTACCCGAAAGGGCAGAGGATAGACTCGTCGAACTACAACCCAGTTCCATTCTGGAACGCTGGCTCTCAGATGGTAGCTTTGAACTATCAGACCCCGGATAAGCCTATGCAAATTAATATGGGAAAGTTCAAAGAGAATGGTGGATGCGGTTACGTCTTGAAGCCTGAATTTATGTTCGATGAAGGCTACAATCCATACGTAAAGAAAAGTATTGAGAAAAAAGTGAAGCCTATGATAGTGATGCTGCGCTTAATCGGGGCCAGGCACCTCATAAAGACTGGACGTGGAACTACCAGTCCGTCTGTAGAAGTCGAAATTATTGGGGCGGAATATGACTCTGGCACTAAACTCGTTACAAAGACAGTTGGTGAGTATTAAATTTCACGAAAAATCCAAACATTTTTTTCATACATTTATTAACTAGTGTGCAGGTCACACTGAACACATACATTCCTCGGAGTTTTAACAGTTGCTTAACACAACGAGATTGTAGTAAAACCCGTTATGCATACATTTCAGCACCCCTATGTGCATTACTTTGTAATTCAAAATATTAACGATTTTCCTTTTTTACGTTACAGCTGATAACGGCCTAAACCCGATTTGGAACGATATTTGCGAATTTGAAGTGTCAAATCCCGACCTGGCACTTATCCGTTTCCTAGTTCAAGATGAGGACATGTTTGGCGACCGAAACTTCATAGGACAGGCGGTGTTTCCAATAACATGCCTGCGATCTGGTTACCGAAGCGTGCCCTTGACTAACGCTTATTCAGAGGAACTAGAGCTGTCGTCGCTGATGGTCCATATATCTTTCATCGTTGGCAAATAGACGAATTAGTAAATATATTCCCCTACAGCTGGGCATGATGTTTGTAGCCAAAAATTTTCAGGATATGTGCAGTGAGGTAAAAAATAATTATTTCACTAATGGAAACTTAGTAGAGAGGCAAAATTATTATATTTTACTAAATATTTATAATCGTTTAAAAAGTTAATGTTATACATTTACGAAGCGTGTACAATATGATGTAATATTGGCTTATATAATGTATAATTATATTATTTAACTACATGGTGAAGTAGGACTAGACTAATGGGAGTAGGATTATTAATAAGTTAATTGTGTCAGTGTCCATTGTAGTGAACAGGAGTTCATGCTTCACAAAGTATTAGCACATCACTAACTTACATTGTACCTTACATTGTTTACTTTTCTAGCAGTCTTTCTGCTTTACAAAATCTACAGAAAATTTATAGATGATTCATAATCATTTTTGTTCATAAAACATTATTTTATATACACAATTCTGACCCGGTGTTACAACTAAAGCACTCAACTAGTGTAGGTCGTATTTATATAATATTTAATATTTTACATGTATATTGCACCTTGAAAACAAGGTTTATCAAAATTTTTAAAACCTTGATGGATTTTCTCGAATATTTTATGTAAATTTGATCTGACTGATCTGAATGGTTGCTATTTTAGCCGGCTGCTATTTTGGCAGCTCATAAAAGGGCCGGTGCCAAACTCCTTTACACATAGTTTTACAAGAAAATGAGTGCTATGGCGGTGCTTGAACCAAATGAACTAACACTACATTATCTATGAATATTTAAGAGTATAAAAAAAGTCTATTGCACGTTTGTGGCGAAAGTTCAAGCCCGTATATCGTGAAGTGATAAGAGTGCCTAACATACTAATTTATTTGAAGTTTGAAAACATGGTCTTCCACCTTAAATTAAAGTCTCGTCTTCCTACTTTTTAGATTGTCTATACTAAACTAAGAATATTAACAAACTGAATTCTTACTTCGGCTATTGCCAGTTATTTAATAACTTTTAATTTGATTCCCAAATCAAACTAATAATTCTAAGGGAGGTCATGTTTATACAATGGTGTTTAGGAATGCAAAGATAGCATAATATAAGCTTGCTAAGACTGATTGAGGTGAACACTATAAAGTGAAAAGAAAGTGAGAATTTTAAACTCTTTTACAATTCCAAAGATTGGGATTAAAACCAATATACTATTATTATGCAAACTCGAGGAACGAATTATCGTTTTTAGTTTGTAAAAATCACAGAAATCGATTAATAAGCAGGACTTTAGTCAATATCGATTCTTTGTAGAAATATTTGACACGAAATAATCACAATTACATTTTAATCAATTATATTTATTAATGAATATGATTTTTTATCTGTAGCATAATTTAGATAACGCGTATACAATTTCCAAATATTTAGTTTAGTTGAAGTATCATCAAGAAATAAAAACGTTGAGTGGATCTTTGATACATCTCATCATACCATTTTATATAGGTATTAGATTTTTAGCATAATATGAACTGTTGAAAATGTATGTATTGCAATACACTTACAGTAGTATTTAAATGTTTTCAACAAAGTACTATACCCATACACAATATTTTTTAATATTATTATTGAATGGTTTAATAGTTAGTAGCAGGTGAAAGCAAGCTCTGGCAATAGGGGACGCGATTCGATGCACAAAGCAGCTTTTATAGCGATACTAATTTATTGAGAAAATCTAGCTTACGCAAAGTATCAAAATTGAGCAGAACTTCTGATTCCTCAGTCCATTGCCCGTGTAATATGCTGAGCAATTTTAAAAATAAATTTAAACGCTTCCGAAAGTCACACATATGATGTACGAATAGTAATTTTCGTCCGAATCGACAAATAATAGAGATCGGTCGCTAATTATAATATTTTATTAGTTAGTAAAATAATTTGAAATGTTTTTTTTAAGATAATATTCTAATAAAATACATCGAAAATATAGTAAAATAGATAAAATACACAATTATCTAAACTTCCCCTCTTCCTTACAATTTACAAACATATTATTGTATGATATAAAAATCACAGACTAATGATGGGAATGCAATTATTTTAAGTACGCATTTACAATTTTAATTATGACTAATGCATTTACATAATTTTATAGTGCAATATATTATTGAAATCATTTTATTACTGATATATTTAAATAATTGGTATACTTTGTGAGGTTTACAAATAACTTGGTTTATTGGTCTGTTATTTTATTTGGAACTATGAAATTATTGATTTTCAATGTTAGTTGACATAAGGTATACTGTGCTCTCCTATATTTGTAATTAAATTCATTATAATTATACTTGTAATGGATAAAGGTTTTTAAATCTTTAATTTTACATCACTTATTGACTGATTGTAATGTTTGTGTGTGTTACTATGTAATACTTTCTTATATGTTTTTGCAGAATTCTAATCATTGTAGAATTGATGAAAATAACTACATATATTTTTTACATTGTACGAAATGTTAGCTTCAATATTTATTCAAAGTCAAAATCATTTATTCCAACTAAACCATAAAAAGGTATTTTTGAAGTTGTCAGTCTGTTCGTCAGTGAAGCTAGGTGCTCTTTCCAAATTCGAATGGAGTAAAACGAGCAAGAAACTCCATATTTTTTTTTTACTTAAGTCTACTTAATATAAACAAAAACTGTTCTAACTAAAACTATCTGCACCTAATAAGGCATTCTTGGTGTAGCAAGTTTAGCCTTATTGACTAAGCCAGCAGCAGGGGCTGTCGTAATAGTCTCCTTTGCAGCAGTTGCAGCAATCCTACGATTAATTGCAGCAATCTGTATATTGCTGTTATTTTCAATCAAGGATTCTGCATCCATGCCAGGTGGAACTCCACCTAATGCATACTCACTGAAGGTAGAGAAGTGCTCAGGGATGAACTGTTTATGCTTTGCTGCATATTGTTTTACAATTTTAGTTATTATCATATCCCTAGCTCCTTTGTTGGTTACTCTTTTCGTTGCACATATAGCTGCAACTATAGCACAAGCTATATCAGAGTCATTCAGATATTGACCACCAGAGCAAGTACTTGTGTTTATTATAGCTATTACTCTTTCCAGAGTGATGTGCAATTTCTCAGATATAGGAGTCACACAATCCCTTGAAAATATTGCTCCACATAATGGAGTCATCATTATCAACTGCTTCTTAGAATACACATAGTGAATTGCCATGACATGGTGATAGTGGTGATTAGCAATATCGAATATTAGTGAGTCCAGTTCACTTTCTGTAGCAACTTCTGTTTTAACTAATTTATTATTAGAGTTATTTGTTGGAAGACTAGTACTTCCAACAAATAACTGCACTTCAACAGTTCCGTTCTTGCTGACTATTGGTTGGGTGTAGAGGATACCACAATCACAGAGGTTGACCCTGGCTTGACACTCTAACTTTTCTCTGCCTTCTAATTTGTAATTGTAACTGTTTTCTATTTTATTAATGTATTAGTGATACCTGTTAAACATTGATATCTTCCCTGTGTGCTGCTTTCTTTATATTTGTCGATATTAAATAAAATGTCATCACTATACTTGATGTGTAGGTACGAAGCTAAAAATACAGAGACATCAGCCATTGTTTTGCTAATGAGCTGAAGGTAGTTGCAAATGTGTAGCTTAGTTAAATTATATACAATCTAGTATAACAATAACTACTGTCTCTGTTCCAAGTAAATTTTTTCTTACTCGCGTACCAAAAAATTGGCATACCCTTCGCCAAAAAAAAAGTTATTAAAGATGTAACAGGCATGTTTAGCATTAGAAATTTTGTGACTGATATGACGAGTAGAATAAAGTTACAGGTCTCTCAAGTTAGGTACCGCTTATATGTTGCATTTCGTATAATTAATCTGCACATAATAATGTTTTAGTATTTAATCTAATGCCTAATTAAAAAGTTCGCAAAAACATCAAAGTTACATATAAATAAGTTTACTACATTAAACATCACTACCTACTTAGATAATAATTCAATGCTTATTCCGTACAAATATTTTTCGAAAATTCCTCCACTTCAAGCAACTATTTTTACTCGAATATACTTATTATATAAAAGTACGTACATTTTTTTATTAAAAAAAATACTTATACTTAAATAACGTCAATTAACTAATAGTTGGGAATTGAAAGTAGTAAAAGCTTTACTAAATTCAATTCATAACAGAACACTACTTATTCTTGAGCAGTAGCGCGGCGACGACGTCGCGCACCCGACAATAAAATAATTTAGTATATCTTACAATAGTTACTATTCATAGTAATTGACGCTTATTGACTTAAATGTATAAAACAGCAATTATTATTAAAATTCAATATTCTCTTGAATTATTCTCATACACAAAAAATAATTTATTTTTCTCCTCTTTCAAATCGAGATACTAGTGTATGGTCGCCCTTATGTATGTTTTCTATTGTTTTACATTAGAAATTTAGATGTTTGATGTTTTATTAGATATTAAATAAATATAAAATAATTAAAAAGGCCTTTTATTTCCGAAACTTTCTATTTTAATACAATATATTTTATTGTTTACCGAGAATATCAGTGTGTCCGAATCAATAATGACGTGAAATAGGCAACATTTTTTATCTGTACTCGATGTTGACTGAAGTCTGTGGTAGTGCATAGTTCACTCACGCGAAGCTATTTACTTACCAACTTCTATTGACGAGGTTTTGTAGTTTCATATTAGAATTGATGCTATATATTTTATTTAATTACTACATTTTTATGTAAAGTTTATTCAAATGTTAATATAGTTATTAGAAAAAAAGCTGTACATGAAAAGCAATTGTATAATAAAAATGTCATATGTTTCTGAAACACTTCAATGGCCGTACTGTTCGAGTGTCAATAATAAGTGTTTTGCTGTTCCGGAACTGTAAATTGATATGTTTTCATCAAGGAATGTGATAATGAATAGTTTTCAATGGCGCAAATGGTTTCTTTTTTTGATTTTCGCTGTATACCGGAGGTTAGACACCGTCGATGGTGAGTGCTTTTCATCACTTGTCCATTTGCGTACTTTAATTTTGTCTAAACACAAATACAGATATGTTTATGTATATCTGAGGTATTCGAATAGTTGCCATGAATGCTTACCTAGTGATTATAATTACTTAAAAAGCCTCTGGAAATATACTATTCGCCTGAGAGGCATTATGAACTAGTATTTTGAATAATTTCTTAGGTAGTTTGCATTAACGAAATAAGCGAATTACTAACACTCGCAATATTCTTATTAAATATGTCTTTATCGTATGAAGAGAGTTTTAAAAGCAAATATTGTAATGTTAATTGTCTTAATAGATTAAATAAAATGTATTTATTATCACTAAGACTATTTCACATGGATTGTTTAAACTGTGTAAATAATTTAACCAAACTTATGCTATTGTGGTTTTAAAAAGAAGTAGGTAAAGTAAACATGTACCAACCTACTGCAATGACTGCAATGATATCACAGGATGATCATGAATTCATTTATTCTGACCTCATAAATACAATATGTTACATTGTGTTAAAGAACAAGTATAACAATGTAAATGTTCTTTTAACATCTACCATTGTTCATTTAGAAAATAGGATTTTATTTTCTGTGCATTTACATATTGCTATAGTATTGTCTTATTATTCTTCTATTTCAATATCAATACCATGTAAATAGTACAATCAGCTTGTTTTCCATATTTATGTCTAATGTCAAGTGTTTTGTATTAATGTTTATTAAACATGTAATAGACTTGATATTCCAGACTCCATTCTGATATCATTATAATGTTCCTAGGTTTAAAATGTTACTGCAACAGTGAAAGATGTCCGAACTCAACATGTGAAACAGATGGGTACTGTTTCGCATCTACAAGTCTCGAGAATAAAGTACAGAAATTCACATACCAGTGAGTATAGTTCATATGTACATTGTTATTGAAATATACAAACAAAATATTCAAAATTATTTTTCTTTTCCAAATTCTCTCTAAAATCATATTAATGAAGGCATTTCATTATATTAATTAAATAAAATCAAAAGGTACATATTTTTATTAACTTCAAGTCAACAATGTTGGCTTAAAACGAATTCAGTAAAACAATTGGCAAACTCAAATCAACACAAACCTGTTGTTGTGGTGGCTCACAGGTATAATTCTAACCAATTTCTATCAAATGATTGACCTGTGTAGTGCGGTGGTCTTAAGCTGTATGAACTTGAACGTTGCATTCCCTCCTGAAAACCCAGTAAAATGCAAAAACTCTACAATGTATTGCTGTAAAACTGATTTCTGCAATTCTGATGCGATAATACAAGAAAAATTGTCCAAAGTGCTTCATGCCTCCATAATGGGTAAGCTGTTCTGTGCACTTGCGGGCGTGTCATGTATCTATTTTGATGATGCAGATTTTGAGTTTGTTTGATGTACTATTAGAATCATATAACTGCATTGCCATTTCCTATAAGTTTTGTGTTGAGATGCCAATACTCTAACAATCGCTTTTGAATTAGTGATTTGAATATGTACCTACTAAGCAAAGAGAAGGTGCGGCCGCAGGTGCCGACAGAAATAATTAGTATGATTTGAATGATGTGCCGTACTCCTTAACCAACTCTATTTTCCGAGTGTGCGTTGTTTGCTTTAACCTACTAAACATAATGTATGGTGGTTCCACTTGCGGCACAGCTGTATCGAGCTCAAATCACTGATACCCATCGAGCATCCCTTCAGTTGCTCTACAACGAAAACTAAAAATGAATCAGTGGTGATAAAATGTTGTAAGTCACATGACATGTGCAATGAAGGCCTGCGTCTGGACCTGCAACCGAAGCCGCCAGGTAGGAGCGACGTGGAGGTAGTGCCCTCGATGTGCCCCGCTAACTACTGCACTCTAGCTTCCCGCTCTTCACACTCGACGCCCACAAACGCCAAGTGCCCAGCGCCCATCCTCCAGCGGGTGCCGTGGTTTATGGTGCGAGACTGCATGGCTAAAGATTTTATTTTTTCTTCGTTTTGTTCTTAAATAACATTGTTTTTCCTTAGACCGGCATTGATCACCACCGTGTAGGGTATATTCTTTTTGTACTAATCTATGAATTTATGGACGTAGATGTTGGGACCAAGAAAACATATTGCCTCCCGGGGACATGCCTATATGGTGCCGCAGAAAAAACCCCGAAATATCTTGCTGCGCCACGGAGTACTGTAACCGTTACCTATTCACAGGTACAGTATTTATTCGGAATGTGTCGTCGGGGCGCGCTGTCTGGGTAGCTTACATTGTGATGTCCACATCAAATGTATTGTTCAATCGTACCATGCTATAGTAACGTTCATCAGAGGTTCTTAATATGATTCGAGATAATCGGCTGCTCGGTAACAATCGTGCATGCAAGGTTTGCACGTAAATTATATTAGCAATGGGACTCGATCCTATTGACGCTGTCGATACGGCTTTACTCATTTACAATAAAAAAAATTGTATTTGAAGGTAAAGATTAGTATTCGGTCGTTTTGGGTTGTGTTCGTTAGAGAAACGGATATATTTCGTTTGAACTTAAAAGGGGGACATCATTACATTACGTTATGCATAGTAGTAACGGTACATGTGTTATAAAATGGGTGCAATTGCACAGAAGGCATGAATGACGGGATGTTTCAATTGTAATGGCATTATACAACATTGAATGTCTTGATTATTATATTATGTTATGCATAGTACACATGTTCAAAAATTGGGTGCCATTGCACAGAAGGCATGACGGGATGCATCAATTGCAATGGCGTTATACGACATCAAATGTCTTGATTACAGAAAGTAAAGAGGATTGTGTAGTCATTTTACAACAGGCGTAAAGTAAAGGCGTAAGTGATCATAAGCCGGTTTTTCCATTTGATTTAAGCATGATTTTTTTAATTTTATACTAATAGCATGCCACTAAACTATTATATAGTAATTTATTTTTGCTAACAATATTTTTCAGCACTTTTATTTATTACATAGTTTACTGACATCAAGCTGTGGGGCATGACTAACCTTTGCACGATATAAAAATAAGTAATCTAGCTAATTATAAAATTAAGTAAAATTTAGTTAGGGCTAGTTGCTTATTAGTACATATTTCTACAAGTATCAATATTGGAAGATTCCATTTCCTTAGTTCACCCATGTTTTTTTTATTTGAACAAATACATTTATTGTATTTATCAGCTACTAGAAGTAAGGCTTTTTATTATAACGTTTTTATATCGAACGCCATTTAGTTACAACCAACAAAAATAACCGCCAATAATATATTAGACATTGTTGTAATTTGGTTTATGTTAAATCGATTTTGTTAGGTATACGTAATTTTTTTACAATTTGTTAAATTGAAATTAATGTCTGTTGGTTCAGCTTTTGCATGTGTGTTTTGTCCTCATTCTGTCCTTGAGGTACGCTTTCGCTGTCTCGTTATGTTTTAGAGCTAATTATTTGTGTTTCAATAAAACGAAAAAATATAATACTTACTGTAGTTTCGTATACTTACCGGGCACACACAAGATCCGCCCATGATACACGGTTGCAAATTAAAGTTTGTTTTCTTAAACATTTTCGAAAAATCATTCAGCTCAATTAAATTATAATTTTAAAACTGATTCACTAATACTGAATTTTATTGAAAAGCTTGTGTCGTCGTAATAAATCAGATGAACATTTTTATTTGCTCATGCGACGTACTGCGAACTTTTTGTATCACTATTATCAATTGAAAACCATTAAACGTTGCCTGCGAACAATATTGTTCTTGTACAACCGAACGATGTGAATGTAAACAAATAATCCGTTTTTTATTACAATTTATATCAATACGCATATCTAATTTAAGTATGTACATCCAATTATTCACCAATTTTAAAAATATTAGTACCTAATTAATGTCCCATTGTGTGAATGACTTGATTGAATGGAAATAATGGAATCATGCCCTTTTGCGTGATTCCAAAAAATGTGAACGTCTGAGTAGATTGTTTTAATATTTACATTTTTAATGAGGATGTGCACCTCTGTCTAGCCCTTCGAGGATTACAAGGCGTGATTTGATAAATAAATAGTCCATCTTGGTATACATAACCCTTGTAAAAGGGTCCATGAATTGATTCCGCACGAACTCTGTATCTATTCCGGCTACGTAATGCATGCAATAAAGCTCTTGCTAGGTCTTGTATTACATCTTTTAATATAACCAATGTAATTATTTGGTAATGCTATTGTATTCGGGGATCTAATCAAATGCTATTTTCTAATTTGGCTTTATAAAGGTAATATATTTTTTAAATTAAATACAGCCATATTTGTGTTGTCTCGAATGCTTTGTACCTCTCTTCTGTATCAACATTACGAATACTAATCCATACATTCTGAATAAAGAGACGGGAACCACAGCGACGGCATGGAAAGTATTGCCATGGGTGATGGGGTTGATGGTTCTCGGGGTTTGCGCTGCGATTAGCTTCTGGTGGGCGAAGCGATCTCATGGCCCGAAGAAACGGGTACCTTCAAGAACCCCCTATCCGACCGATGACCCGGGGAGCGAGGCCAGGCACCCCATGATGAGAACAACGACTATACGGGACATGATCGAGCTCACCACTTCTGGTTCTGGGTCCGGTATGTATCTTTTTGTTTGCTACGTATATATCCTTATTCATCA